GGGGTGGCCACCTCCCCCAGGCCAGGTCAGGTGAGGTGCGGCGGGAAGGCGGCGCGCACGCGGCGGGGCCGGTGCGCGGGGCGGCGGGTGAGCGCTAGCTGCCAGCCCCGGACCCGCCGGTGCCATGGACGGCCTGCGCCAGCGCTTCGAGCGCTTCCTGGAGCAGAAGAACTTTGCTACCGAGGCGCTCGAGGCACTCGAAGCCAAGACCGGGGTCGAGAAGCGGTATCTGGCCGCGGGTGAGCCTTCTGGGCGCTCGCCCCATTTCACTGACCCGCACGCAGAGGCCCTGGGCCTCCCGGGCTCGCACCTGCTCCTCTCCAGCCTGCGCCGGCGGCGAAGCGCGCCCCACAGCCCAGCACGGAGACGGAGAAGCTGGGAAGGGGGTCTTGGGTGGGGATTTAGATCTGCCCACAGTCCTTCCGCTGCCCCTCCCCTGCGACCTCAGGCGAAGGCCACCCTCTCTCTGGTCCCTGCCGCACCCCTACTCCAGCCTCCATCCCAGGCGTCCTTTGACCTCCCTGGGGCCCTGGGTGCCCGCCAGGTGGAAGTCTGGTTTTTCCAGTTGCCCAGTGCCCTGGGGTTGGAGCAAAAAAAACTGGAGTGGCGAGTGTCCTGTCCAGCCTGGCAGCCAGAGCGAGACCCACCGATTTTTGGAGAGGAGGCTGGAGGCCAGGAGAGGAGTGAATGCCCACCACCCTCCCCCCAGGGTGCCTGCCCTCCTTCCCCCAGCTGCTGGCGTTGTCTCTGTGCCCAGTATCTGGGAGTTGGGTTTGGTTTGACAGCTGTGACAGGTCGGGCTAGGGCCACCTGCTCTGCTGGGTGGCCCTGCCGCTTTTCCAACCCCTGCCTAGAGAGCTTGTGACAATTTTTGCCATGCTCGGTAGCCTACGGGCTCTGCCGCTGTTTCCAGGAAGGCCTCAGAATGAGCCACTAGGATGCTCTGGGGGCTCTGGGTGGAGGGCAGCGCCAGGTTCCTCCGTGTCCAGTGGCTTTTCGTGCCAGGTAGCCCGAGGAGTGCTCTCCCAGTCCCATCCCCGTGTGCAGTGCAGGCGGCCGGCTGTCGGCTGCGCCTGCCTCGATTTCCACACCCGTGGGGCCTGTGGGTGGGGGATTTAGGTCACAGAGCCGGGGAAGGAGGCTGGGTGCCCCCGAGACACGCAGCGCCCATGGGGCCGACCTCTGGCGCTGCACCCGCCCGTAATCCTGAGGTCCAAGGTCATCCTCCAGTGCTGAGGTGGCAGGAGAAGGGATTGAGGTCAGGCCCTGGGCCAGCGTGGCCTGGGGCAGAGGTGGCAGTTCCCTGGGTAACACGTGATGCTGAGAGAAGGGAGGGGCACAGCCTGGCCCTGGGGGTGCACCCTGAGGGTAAAGAGTAACAGGGAAGGGTGCCGGAGCTGGGCCCGCCCTTTGGCCAGGAGTGGGCTCCGTCTGCCTCTGCAGATGAAGGCTGTGGGGAGGCCGTCCAGCCTCTGTGGGGCCCTAGTTCCCTGTGTGACCCCGCACTGTCCCACGCTGCCTTCCCTGGTCCCTGCTGCCAGATGAGAGCAGGAGGGTCGCACCCGCAGGCAGCGCCCTGCAGGGGGCAGCACAGGGCAGGGAACAGAGGTGTGGACCACCCATGCAGGGATGGGACTGAGGCCCATGGGCGGCTCTGTGTCCACTGGTGAGCGGGCCGGGACCAAAGTGCCTGCTCAGGTCCGAAGGGTCGAGACACCAGGCTTTGCTGCCTCCCACCAAGACAAAGGGTGACGCCGCCCCCAGGAGACCCCGCACGTGGGTGTTGTGAGTGGGTGGGGCGCTCCTGCCTGGTTGGGGGAACCAGGGACGCCCTGTGCCGGGCGGCCCTCCCCTGACAGGCAGCCTGTGTTCAAAGCTGGCCTCTCCTGGGCCCGCGGGGCCTGGAGCTGGCGGTGTCACGCAGGGCTGTCGTGGTTGACACCTGCGAGCAGCTGCCCTACCCACCCGTGAGTGGCCGGGCAGTCAGACAGGGGACACAGCCAGGTCGCGTGTGGTGGAGGCGTTGCGGGGACCCTGCGGTTTCCACCAGGGCTTCTGGGGGCGCCCTGAGCAGGCGGGCGCTGCAGCAGGCTGGTCTGTTCCCAGGAGTGGTCACTCTGCTAAGCCTGTACCTGCTCATCGGCCCGGGGGCGTCTCTGCTGTGCAATGTCATCGGCTTTGTGTACCCCGCCTATGCTTCGTGAGTGCCGCGCTGCTGCAGGGGGCGGAGTAGGACGGCCGGGCAGCCCCAACCCCGGGGGAGTGGGGTTTAGTGACCAGAGCAGCCCTGACCACACGGTGGGGGACGGCCGGGCAGCCCCGACCCTGTGGGGATGGGACGGCCGGGCAGCCCTGCCCCTGCCCCCCGCAGAGTCAAAGCCATCGAGAGCCCCAGCAAAGAGGACGACACAGTGTGGCTCACCTACTGGGTGGTGTACGGGCTGTTCGGGCTGGCCGAGTTCTTCAGCGACCTGCTCCTGTCCTGGTGCCCTTTCTACTACGCGGGCAAGGTGGGCATCAGCGGGGCCGTGGAGGCGTGGAGCGGGGACTCGGGGCGGGGAGCTGGGCCTGCACCCAGGGCGGGGACTCGGGGCGGGGAGCTGGGCCTGCACCCGGGGTGGGGACTCGGGGCTGCAGAGCTGGGCCTGCAC